CTCTCCAGCTAGCAACTGATAACAGAAAAGAGGAATTTTTAAATTAGCACAATAAAGAAAGAACAAAAGAACAGGAAAAAAGAGAAAGAACACAACCTTTCAACATAATACTCTGCTCAAATAAGAGTATTATGCTAGAAACGAGTAACACATACCTATTTGCACTATAAAGATCTTCATAGTCAGCCCATAGAAGTCTTTAACTTTAGTATACTTGTTAAAGCTTGTTGAACACGTAGAATTATTAATCAACTTTCAGATTCTTAGATTGTATCAAACCAGAAGAGTATATTGGACTAGTAGTCACTCAAAGCGTATATTTTGTATGTAATTATGTAGGAAATCCTCTCAATATTATGGATATAGCAGCATAGCGGATCTGGTCTCACTCAGCTAGTTAATTATGTTAGAAATAAAAAAAAGTTTTGAATTCGATCTGGTCTCCAGAAAACAAACCGTCTCTTATAGCAGTGGGACCATCAGCAAAAAGCGCAACTACAGCAAGTGTCATGGCAACATCAGGCATTTTATTCATGTTCACATCAATGGCACGCAAATGCTTCATTCCAGAAGAATTCCTTGGTGGTCCTTTGACTGTGACGCTGTTCTCTGTCCAAGTAACTTCTGCTCCCATTTTCTCAAGAACCTCAGCAAATTTGACATCCCCCTTCACAAAGGCAAACATAAAAACACAAATGAGAAAGTTTAACCATGACATTGAAAGTCATCTCAATGCATTCATCGATTTGGGTGCTACTGTAAAGAATTAAGAATGTCTCATCCACAATGCTTTAATACCTAACAAAAACCAAACGTGTACATAAGCAAGACGTGGGTACTTTTTTCTTTATCTGATAATCGAGAAATCCCGGAGGGCTAGTGGTGCATAGTTCAAAACTCTATGGATAATGGGCCCACCCCTCTATCCTTCTCCACTTAAATACAAGACTTGTCTGTGGTAGCATTCGAACCCGCGATGTGCATCTAATTCACCTACGGGGTTGCGCTCTTACCACTAAACCAAACTCAGGGGCCAAATGTGGGTACATATTAGGATGCTTCCACAAAGTCAACACAGAAAGATAACAGATAAGTTCAACATGCAAACCCCTCCCCTGGCTCAAACGGCCAGAGCAATACCTGTAAACTGCTTGTCCCACAACCTTCAACAGTGATAGTTCCACCTGTGACGGCCGCTCCAGCCAAGAAGTAGCTAGCACTTGAAGCATCGCCTTCTACATAAGCTTTTCCAGGAGACCTAATATTACGTCAATATTTACTTCAATAGTTTTGGTAATAAACTTCTCAAGCCATTAAAATGATTTGAAAACAGACTTACTTGTATTTCTGACCTCCTCGGACAACAAACCTGTCCCAGCTACTACTGTGCTCCACAGAAATACCAAATCGC